ATATCACAAACTCAGTGAAGATCAGGGTTAGAATTTACCTCCAGCAACTCATGCTTGTAAGAGGCGACTAACGGGATCAGGCGGTCAGGCTCGCTGACATGGTTGATGAATGTCGCCATATCCCAATTACGTAGATCGATGCTCATGATTTCAAGTTTTGAATTGTCTGGTCCACACTTGATTATTTAAATACCGCCGTCATATATCTGGAAGATTGCCGAGTGCGGTATAAAACGACAAACAAACAAACAAAAGTAACCAAAACGGACGTAAAATATGCACATAAACAGTCCTTCAAACACGCATAAACTTCCAATCTTCCTTTTCTCCAGGTATTTTCTGTGGTTGATTGATAAGAAATGTGAGTGAGTGCGTTTGGTTTAACGCCGCTTTGAGTGAGTGAGTGCGTTTGGTTTAACGCCGCTTTGAGTGAGTGAGTGCGTTTGGTTTAACGTCGCTTTGAGTGAGTGAGTGCGTTTGGTTTAACGCCGCTTTGAGTGAGTGAGTGAGTTTGGTTTAACGCCGCTTTGATTGAGTGAGTGAGTTTGGTTTAACGCCGCTTTGAGTGAGTGAGTGAGTTTGGTTTAACGCCGCTTTGAGTGAGTGAGTGAGTTTGGTTTAACGCCGCTTTGAGTAAGTGAGTTTGGTTTAACGTCGCTTTGAGTGAGTGAGTGAGTTTGGTTTAACGCCGCTTTGAGTGAGTGAGTTTGGTTTAACGCCGCTTTGAGTGAGTGAGTGAGTTTGGTTTAACGTCGCTTTGAGTGAGTGAGTGAGTTTGGTTTAACGCCGCTTTGAGTGAGTGAGTTTGGTTTAACGCCGCTTTGAGTGAGTGAGTTTGGTTTAACGCCGCTTTGAGTGAGTGAGTGAGTTTGGTTTAACGCCGCTTTGAGTGAGTGAGTGAGTTTGGTTTAATGCCGCTTTGAGTGAGTGAGTGAGTTTGGTTTAACGCCGCTTTGAGTGAGTGAGTGAGTTTGGTTTAACGCCGCTTTGAGTGAGTGAGTTTGGTTTAACGTCGCTTTGAGTGAGTGAGTGAGTTTGGTTTAACGCCGCTTTGAGTGAGTGAGTTTGGTTTAACGCCGCTTTGAGTGAGTGAGTGAGTTTGGTTTAACGTCGCTTTGAGTGAGTGAGTGAGTTTGGTTTAACGCCGCTTTGAGTGAGTGAGTTTGGTTTAACGCCGCTTTGAGTGAGTGAGTTTGGTTTAACGCCGCTTTGAGTGAGTGAGTGAGTTTGGTTTAACGCCGCTTTGAGTGAGCGAGTGAGTGAGTGAGTTTGGTTTAATGCCGCTTGAACAATATTCCAGATATATCACGGCATATCAGTTTAATGTTGGAGAAAAGCTCAAACCTTCACCACTTCGGTGAAACCCACGAGCACGGTTATGTTGCTGACGAACCTAAAAACATAATCGAGCCGAACCGGGATTTGAACCATTGTTCCCAAGGGACGCAACTCTGCACAGCGACCAATGACGTCACCGATCTTGATCACCTGATCCATTTGGCCACCTTCCACGACACATACATGTGGCTGGCGATTCGCACGGCGGATATAACTTATTAGAAAGCTATGTGTTGACATTGACACTGACATACCATTTACATTAAATTGTTATCCACCCACTAAATAGCTAAATCTTTTGTTTCTTAGAACTGATGAGAACTCCCTATTTTTAACAAAATCATATTATCTAATCACTGACCTGGTTGGTATATGTTTGAAATTTGGAATGTCCTTCTTTGGTAGTTTCAATAGGTCAGTTATGTAGCCCATACATATATAAGCTGAAGTCAAGATAAGTAAGTGAGTGAGTTTTACGCAGCTGTCAGCAATATTCCAGTAATATTACAGCTGGGGGACACAAGAAATGGGTTTCACGCAGTGTACCAATGTGGGGAAACAAACTCGGGCATTCGGCATGAGTGAGTGAGTGAGTGAGTTATTGTTTAACGTCACATGGGCAATATTTCAGCCATATCGTGACGAGAAGTTATACAGTTATGATACATTTATGATACATATATTTAGACTAAATAAAAAGCTGTCAACGATGGACAGTAGAATAACTAGAATATCACAGACGTGATTTAAAACTAGTTGAGAATATTAAAAAGCAGTAAGCATTAATGAACACCACAATATAAAAATGGGCTAGAAATCGTCAGTCACTGAAGGGAGATCACAATACTGGGGACCATGGGGACTTACAGTACTTTTGCTTCCTGCATGGACCCCGGCAGGCATTCGGCATGACGATAGCTTTCACCACTAGACCCACCGCCCAGTCGAAATACGATATTACTGATGACATTGGACTGAACCAGATTATAGTCTTGAATGTGTCAAAACATAATTTTATTTGTTTGTTTGTTGTTAAACGCCGCACTGAACAATATTCCAGCTATATGACGGCGGTCTGTAAATAAGTGAGTCTGGACCAGACAATCTTGTGATTGACGTCATGCACATCGATCCACGGAATTGGGATCGATGACATGCATCAACCAAGTCAGCGAGTCTGACCACCCGATCCCTTAAGTCGTATCTTGCGACAAGCATAGTCGCCTTTTACAGCAAACTTCGATTGCCGAAGACCTATTTAACCCCGGATCTTCACAAGTCGTCAAAACATGAACTATAGATATGCACCATCCTACAACAAACCGTCCACAGTCTCCAAACAACCACAGCCCAGCTGCAGACAGACCTACAAACCAGCCAGAATCAACAACAGACAGCAGCTGCTGAAATCTCGTCTCTAAAAGGTGATGTAGCTACCACGAAGGTAGAATTGTGGTCGTCATCAAATGAAATGGCCCTGCTGAAATCGGACCTGAACAACTTGAAAGGAACTAATCCTAAAACTATAAGCCAGTTGAACATGGCGGCGCTGTATTCCATCAGCCAGGATGTGGAGTTGAACACAGCACAGGTAAATGCGGTGCAGTCAGATGTCAGGATGTTCGACAAACAACTAAACCTAGCAAACTCTTCTCTACATGACACAAAGCGAGAAGCAGACAGTTTCATCCAAAATACATCATCTGTGATCGGGGTCATTGCACACAAATAGCTCATTCAGAACATGGAACTTCAATACACAAAGGAGCTTGCCCAAAATTCTTCGAAACAACTGGAACAGTTTGAGAATGACGAGAATGCCACTTCTCGTAGTCTGAATACTGTCAGATCTGATCTGCAGTCGACCAAGGCAGATCTGCAAAAAAAACAGACACTCTCTTAACTTGGCCAGCTCTGAAGTAAAGACTTTGAAAAGTAAAATGGCTGTTGTAGAGAAAAAATCCCTGGACAATAAGTAGTCACTATCACAGGTCGCACTAACACTGATAACCTATTTATGTTTAAATGTTCCAGTTCATGCGTCACAGTGTGTTTCAAATAGAAGGTAACGCGGATCTTAACAGTATTTCAGTTAAATCACAACGTCAGCCTGATGTGGGAGGACTCTTCTGAAAATGATGTTATCCCATGGTATGACACCCATCTAGGTGAAGTTAGGGTCAAAGTGGTGAGTTGGGCAAAGGAACACTGTTCCTGGCTCCAGTGCCCTCAACCACCAGAATCCCTTCCTCCACCGACACGGGCGCAACCCACGGCAAACGGGCTGCCCAATTCGGTCGCCTTTTACGACCAGCAATGGGGTGCTGTGGACACATTCTACCCCGAGTCCACACGGGGGAAGAGCTATTAGCGCTACCCAGCACTCACCACGAGGAGGTTGCTCTTCACGAGTGCCAATAAAGCAATAGAATTATAACGTGGCATCCCAAAGATGAGACAACCATAATCACTAAAAAGGATGAAGGCCAAAGTATACTGTTGATTTGGAAGACGTTTGCCCTTCCTCCAGAAACATTTGGGACTACCAAAGTAAGAAATTGACTGCACCCTGTGCCATGACATTGGCAACGTTTGGTGATGGATGGGTCTACAAGCATAAAGAGTCACAGTATCGACTAGAATTAGAATAAAGAACGGATGTTCCTGAACTTGAAATCAGCAGAAGAAGGAATTATAATTGACGTAACATTCTCAGAAGAAAAAAAATCAGTTTCCATTAATATTTCACCTTTCAGGGAATACGTGCAAATTGTTCCATAAGTTTTTATTCACAATAGGTTGGGAAGGTGATTGGCACGGGGACTGACAAAGTTAGAATCAAAATTTGATATTATCTGAATGAACACATATACATTTATCATCCAAAACTGGCTCCCACAGGAGATATCGCTTGGGTTAGATCAAGTGATTTATTACTTTCCGTTAAGAGACTACCCGTTTAATAAACATACAGCTGTATTACACATTGTGTAATACCAAAAAGGCGTGCTTATGTACTATCGAAACAAGCTTCGCGAAGAAATATTGAAAGCTCTCAACATCCCTTAGCTTATTCAACGACATTGCGTGTGGAGATGATAAATCACTGAGAGGAGCATATGCACCCCCGATGACCCCGGCAACCTAGTTGCTAGGCTGACGTCACATGGCATTGTTTCGCCGATGGATCTTGCAACAAACTTCCACAACTTCGGGAATTGTGACACTCGTTGATATATTTGATATCAAACGACACTCGGGTGAGATTCTTTCTATATAAATACAGTATACACAAACGTAATTCTGATTTGAACTTGACATCTAACATCTGCTTGAAAATCTGCACAGCTGACGCTCAGTTGTTGGAACGAGTGATATCACCCAAGCAATCTTAACTTGTGTTCTTTATATGGACGACTGTCTACCTCTTGGAAAGTTTGCATGTGATAGGTATGTGTTAGGTACAAAGTACTGTCTAGATTATCTCATGTAGCTCAAGAACAAAATGTACCTTTGTTTTGAATTGTTAAAGGTAAGCAAGCATGCATTGACGTTTAGTTATTTACAGTCTTTTTTTAGAAATGATTCCGTTTTAGATTCGAAACTTTCACTAACTTTCAGAACCACAAGTAGATAATAAAGACATATGTAGCAATGTTATGGCCGTTATCTCGAGATGGACGCACCTGTCATGTGATCTTGTAAGATTAACTGTGAGGGAGTGTGCCAACTAAATGCAAGGAGGTGTCATGGCTTTGGCGGTTGTGTTTCTGTGTATTCTGCTGTCTGGGTCTCTTTCTGGGCTCATTCTGCCCATGTCAAAGCCTGACGGTACTGCTGACATGTCCAGCCTTTTGAGTCACGTCTCCCTATTGGAGCAGAATATGGCTATTCTCCAGGCAACCACTGCACAGCTTCAAACAGATCTTCAGGTGACAAGTACAGAACTTGAGAACACGCAGACAGAACTACAGAGTACAATGACAGATTTACAGACCAGCAAGACACAACAGGAGGTAGCAGCAGCTGAAATTCAATCACTGAAAAATGACGTGGAAACCCTGGAGGCTAAAGTAAAATCATCTTCTGAAGAGCTTGTCGCAATAAAAACAGAACTGAAATACATGCCACACGGTAACACTCATGGTGATGTTCCGCTGAACCTGACGCTGCTTGATGTCATCAGTCATGATGTGAAGCTGAACACGGCACAGATAAATACACTACAGGCAGATGTCCTCATAGTGAAGAACAACCTCAGTCTGACCTCGTCGGAAGTTTCAAGTCTGCAAAGTAACATGTCTGATGTTGAGAACCAAACCCTGGACAACAAATGGTCTCTGCGGCAGCTTTCTCAAATGACCGGTGAGCAGGAAACTCTATTATTCCTTTAGAATATATTAAAACATATAATTTATCATTTCGAATGTCCAATGCCTAATCAGTGGTTTATTACACCATTACCAAAGTCAAACATACACACTTCGCACATCATCCATCTCGGCAGCTGTCACAAGTTTCCTCAAAGCCTGTAAAACATATCTAGTCTACATATCCGTGGCCAAGCCCCCACGACCATTGATCAATCAACAGGTTGTCTTGTTCAGTCCAATTGTAAGATTCCGGGGTAGAATAGGTTGTTGTTGTTACAGATACATATATATGTTCTCTACCTCATGTCATTTATTCACCTGATGATGAAGTGTATATTCCTCATAATAAAGAGGCCCGTCGAGACGCCGGGATAGAATAGGTCTTCAGCAACCCATGCTTGCCGTAAAAGGGGACTATTGGATTTGTCTGAAAAAGTACAAACGTTATTAATGCGTTACCAGGCTGAAAAGATGCATTTGCAGCGTTGAAAATTCGCTAAACACCTTTTTTCAGGTACTCGTAAGAACGCACGTGAAAAGAATTATATAAATTGCAATCACAGGTAAAACATCACAGGTAATGGAAAAGCACAAAGATTAACATCACAATAGAGAGGGGGTACTTAAGAAAGAGGGAAATGTGTGCCTACCTCATCCAGATTGCCAGAAACTTCAACTGTACAGACCCGTGAAGATCCGGGGTAGAATAGGTCTTCAGCAACCCATGCTTGCCGTAAAAGGTGGCTACGCTTGTCGTAAAAGGCGACTAACGGGATCGGGTGGTCAGGCTCGCTGACTTGGTTGATGCATGTCATCGATTCCAATTGCGTGGATCGATGCTCATGATCTTAAAAACGGGATTGTCTGGTCCAGACTCGATTACTTACAGACCGCCGTCAAATAGCTGGAATATTGCTGAGTGCGGCGTTAAACAACCAACCAACCCACTAGCTTTCGTTGTTTGTCTAGCATCTTGACATCCAAGTGTACCGCATTTACCTGAGCCATGTTCAACTTGACATCGTGACTGATGGTATTCCACCAATCAATTGTAAGGAAACAAACTACCGTATTTAAATGAGTGACGTGTCCAGAAACGTCAACAAAGGAATTTCTCAGTAGGCATAAACTCTTTGTCTCCATAGACATTTTGAATGAATCAATCACTACGTATTTTACAGCAACAAAGACTCAAGGTGTCGCCTTCCAAGCACATGACCCACCTAGCCATGCACCTGCTAAAACCCCATTGCAATTCACTTTGATCAACCACAACGCTGGCTCTGGCTTTAACATTCACACAGGGAAGTTCACTGCACCAGTCAATGGAACCTACATGTTCTGGACACAGCTTGAAATGGGTGGTGGATCCAACACTGCTTTGTACGTCTATATAAAGAAGACAGGAGGAGTGAACATGGCAGCTGGTTACATGGAAACAGGGTCAGGTATTGGTGATGTGGATACTTCTGCTCAAACTATCGACCATCTGGAGGCGGGGGAACAGGTGTGGGTGGAGATTACTAACAATTATGATATCTACCACAGTGCATCGTATTTCGGTGGCGCCCTGCTATCAGTGGTGTGATCAGCACGAGGCAGCTTAGTGATTGGCATTCATTTTGAATGGCGATAAGAACAACAAATAAATACATATTAACAAAATCATCTTGGTTTTTGTCACTGATGTTGTTCAAAGAAACATCGTATGCTTGTTGTGACTTGAATGATCTTGAATGAAAACTGAGACAGTATGTGCTCTGTCCGTCCGTACTTGACGCTCAAACAACTGCACGTGATTCGCCCTGTCATATAAGATCATGACGATACGTGATAATGACGCATTATGAGATATCATAAAGATTGCATCTCACCTGAAGTGCCTGGTTTAATATCATCCTTCAAACGTTGCCGCCATGATACGAGTGACGATGCACATTGTCTCGTGAGTGAGTGATTGAGTGGTCAGTGAGAGATTGATGTAAATATATGGGAACAAACAGTGAGTGAGTGAGTTTGGGTTAACGCCGCTTTTAACAGTATTCCAGTTATATCACGGCGTGTCAGCTTGATGTGGGAGCTAAGCCCGAAGTGATGCAGGTCTCAGACGAGCACGGGTATGGTGCTGACAGACCTGAAACATAACGGGGGCGAACCGGGATTCGAACTCACAATCATAGGTTTCTCGCGTGCCCAAGGGACGCAACTCTGCACAGCGAATCGCGGCGCCTTAGACGACTGGGCCACCCTAGATCATGTATCAGTGACAACATCAGTGAACATGAACTGAACGTTTCAAAATCTATCTACATTCTTAGAAAAGTTGCTAAGCCTGACGTATGAAAGAATGTTAATAGGGGTCAGTTGTATTATATTACTGCAATGGGGAGTGATGGTGATTGATGTTTGAATTGACAATTGATTAAGAAACCACATTTTATGTCCCAATCGGCGCACCTGTCACAGGATCGTGCATTGCCAAAATTGTGTGACAGCAGCATATTTTATGGCATGTGCCAATGTTAAAAATATTACAACGAAAACGCATCTTGACCATGGTGGTTGTATTTATTTGCATAATGAGGATTGGGTCTCACTCTGGACTCGATGTACATGTGTCACGGGAAAATTTGGCTGGCACACAGGCCTCCGGGAACATTCACCAGTTATTGGTTGTGATACCTGGGGTTAAATAATTCAATCGATCCTCTGCTGGCACATCACACACATTGAGCAACAGTTCAGCTGTCGCTGAAGCAGGTTATGTCTCTCATGTTTGGAATATTTTGCTGCATTCCGCCTGTGGTGACATTTCAGCTGAAGTCGAAAGAGGTTGAAACCGAGATGATTAATATCCTTAGCATCAAATTCTATTACCTTTTTGGGGTGGCGTCTCTATCGGGTTTCAAACCCACACCCGGCACTCGTGAAGAGCAACCTCCTCGTGGTGAGTGCTGGGTAACGCAAATCGCTCTTCCCCCGTGTGGAACCGGGGCAGAATATTTCCACAGCCCCCCATTGCTGGTCGTATGAGGCGACTAAAATGGGCAACCTGTTTGCCGTGGGTTGCGTCCCTGTGTCGGCGGAGGACGGGAGTCTGGTGGTTGAGGGCACTGGTTCCAGGAATAGCGTTCCTTTGCCCAATACACCACTTCGACCCTTACTTCGCCTAGACGGGTGGTAGGATGGGCCCGGTCCTATCAATCGGCTGGTCATGCCGAGCCCTGAGCACTTATTGTGTTTGTGATATATTGCCGATGTGACTTTATTGTTCTTATATCACTTTTGATTGAACTTTCTACTTAAGGACTTGGCCAAAAAAAAATTGTGACAAATCTGGTATTTTGATTGTGGAAAATATAAATTGCCTAGAGTCGTATGCCCAGAAGGCGGTGGCTCATGGGCCAATCCGGTGGATTAATTGAATTGTCGTTAATCTACTTGAGTATACCATCCCAGTATCCTTGGTGCTGCCAGTTGGAAATCCACTGGCTTATAGCATTGTCCTTGTGATACTCCATGGTGGGTGGGGAGCTGGGATGGTGAACCATATACAACTTCACCATGGCTCAAAACAAAAAAACAAAACGTTCTTTAGATGATTCCTCTGATGAGGAACATGCCATTCCAAAGAATCTTTCTAATAGTTGGTCTCGATTTTTAGTCGTTTCCGCTGCTGATGGTTCACCATTGAAACTAAATCCTTTTGCCATTTCCAAAGCACTTTATGGCATTGCTGGTGATGTCAAAGATGTTAAAAAACTTCGGTCTGGATTACTGCTTGTTGAATGCAAGACTCAAAAGCAGTCTACAACATTACAAGCTGCTAATCTTTTGGTTTCTACTGCTGTACTCATTTCCCCACATAAAAGTCTTAATTCCAGCAAAGGGATTGTCAGAGATAGGGACCGTTGTCTCTATGATATGACTGAAAATGAAATTGCTGATGAATTACAAGATCAAGGTGTGACACATGTGAAACGTTTCACATACAAACGAGAAGAATCAATCTTTAAATCCAACACTTATCTGATGACATTTTCAAAATCAGCTCCTCCAAAACATATAAAAGCAGGTTATTTTCACATCGAAGTGGACAGGTACATCCCAAATCCACTTCGTTGTTACAAGTGCCAGCAGTTTGGACACGGTGCACAATCTTGTAACAACCGCAAGATATGTCACCAATGTGGAGAACATGATCACGAAAGTGAGGTGAGGTGTACCAAAACACCTAAATGTGCAAACTGTTCAGGAGACCACGTGGCTTCTTCGAAGTCCTGTCCCAAATTTAAAATCCAGCATCAGATTGTGAAATTAAAACATGAAAGGAATATCACCTTCCTGGAAGCTAAACGGCTAATCATGGCTACTGTCTCTACACCTGCAGCTGTATCCTACTCAGCTGCTGTGTCTCGCACACATCCCAAATCCATGGCATCCGTTCAGTGCCAAACAGACATCACTTGGGTTTCCACAGCACACTACTCCTTGATTCAATCCAGTTCTTCTACTCAAACTGATACTTCATCACCATCAGCAACTGTGTCAACACCGTTAATGGTAGCAGCGCCGGAACTTGCTCCGGCTCCAAATCCATCCCCTGTTGTTAAAAATGCCATAAAAAAGGTTGATTATTCCAAAACTTCAGATCGTGTCTCAAAGGGTCATCGGGACCCGATTCAGATATACAATCGTTTTCAGACTCTGGAGGACATGGATGTCTCTCCTCATCTCCAAGGGCGCAACAGAAGTAAGTCGCCACGAAGTGGGAGAAATAGATCTCCCGTTCACCCACCAGTAACATGACCATTTACCATCCACTAGTACAGTGGAATTGCAGAGGTCTCAGGACCAATTTTAACGAGTTACACCTTTTAATACAAGATTTTGCGCCATCAGCAATCTGTCTCCAAGAGACGTATCTCAAAGAAACCGACACCTTTGATTTGCGCAGGTACAGTTCCTATAATTCATTTTCTCCACCAGGTGTTAAAGCTACTGGAGGATCTACTGTTCTGGTGAAGCAGGGAGTGATCCACAGCCCTGTTTCACTTCATACTAATCTTCAAGCTGTTGCAGTGCGACTGACTTTACACATAACCTTTACTTTGTGTTCTCTGTATATCTCTCCTTCCTCTGTGCTTCAGAGATCAGAGCTTCAATCCTTATATGATCAGCTCCCTAAGCCTTGCATTATCATGGGTGATTTAAACGGACATAACCCTCTGTGGGGAAGTGTTAACGTTAATCATAAGGGGAAAGTACTTGAAGATTTTATTTCTGACAATAATTTATGCATTTACAATGATGGATCAAATACTTATTTACATCCTGCTACTGGAACCTATTCCGCTTTAGATCTGTCACTAACAGATTCAAATCTTTTGAACGAATTTACGTGGTCGGTCCACGATGACTTGTGTGGCAGCGACCATTTTCCTTCCATCCTAACAGCAAATAATCCATCTGACGTTCCACCCACATCAAGGTGGAACTTTACCAAAGCCAACTGGCCTTCCTTTCAGGAACTCTGTACTGACAGGTTGAAGCCTGATGTGTTCAGGAATATCACTGATCCTATTCAGCTGTTTTCTGATATTTTAAACGAAATTGCCAACATAACCATTCCAAAGTCCTCTGTAAATCCACACATTCGAAAACCATGGTTTGATAAAGAATGCAAACAGGCTAGGAAGTGCAGGAAAAAAGCGGAGAAATATTTCCGCAGACATCCAACTGTACATAATCTAGATCATGTTAAAATAACAAATGCCAAGGCACGCCGTACATTCAAACAGAATAAGCGTAGGTCTTGGAGAAATTATGTCTCTAAAATTAATTCTCGCACGCCGATATCCAAGGTTTGGAACATGATTGCTAAAATTAAAGGTAAAGGCTCAAAATCGACTGTCCACCATCTCAAGGAAGGTGACCATTTATTAACTGATAAAGTGGACATTGCTGATAAATTGGGTGAGACGCTGGCCAAACACTCTTCATCGACGAATTACGATCCCAAGTTTCAAACATATCAGAAACAGCAGGAAATGAAGAGGGTTGATTTTACTTCTCAAAATGGAGAAGATTATAATGAGGTATTTTCGCTACACGAGCTAAATACTGCACTTGGTCAAGCGCACGACACTGCAACGGGAGATGATAATATTCATTATCAGCTCCTAAAGCATTTACCTAATTCATGTTTAGAGACGCTTCTTGATATACTTGATCAGATATGGACGTCAGGAAATTTTCCTCCTTCATGGCGTAATGCTATAGTTGTCCCCATACCTAAACCTGGTAGGGACCATAGTGATGCTTCTAATTATAGACCAATATCACTAACTAGCTGTGTGTGCAAAACCATAGAGCGAATGGTAAACAATCGACTGGTGTGGTACTTGGAAACTAACAATCTTATAAGTAACATACAATGTGGTTTCCGTCAGAATAGAAGTACCATTGATCATCTGGTACGTTTAGAATCCTTTGTCAAAAATGCAATTGTCAATAATCAGCATGCAGTATCAATCTTTTTTGATTTAGAAAAAGCGTATGATACCACTTGGAAGCATGGTATTTTAAAAGATCTACATAATCTGGGGTTAAGAGGCCGTTTGCCTCAATTTATATCCCAATTTTTAACAGACCGACAATTTCAG